ACGAACAAATACAGAAAAAGTACTGAAAGATATGGGTGGCACATATCCTGTAGTGACGAAAAGTTTATTCACCCACTGGCTTAGACTTATGGCTCAAAATAATTTCACAGGAATACCAACATCCACTCCTTTTGATAAGTTTTTTTTTTTTTGAATTATGATTCATTAAGAAAGGAGGGATCAGTTGCTTAATTAAATTTGGATTCAGGATTTTTTCTTTACTTTTTGAAGCTTTCTTATTGACATATTAAGTAGTAACAGTTTTTATAATTCACTCTAAAGTTTTGGTTTTACTGATTGCATGAGAGTTTTCTGTTTCGCCTCAGACTCTTCATATATTTGTTAAATTGGTTTCAGGAAAAGCAACAGTTGGAAAAGTCTGTATTGTAACGGGTGCAAGCACAGGTATTGGTGAAGCAATTGTTCGGGAACTTGCCTTAATTGGATATATGAAAGTGGTATTTTGTGCAAGGAGGCGAACAAAACTGATGGAACTAGTTAGCAAGTATGTTCTTATCTTCATAAGCATTTATAAGTTACCTAAAACTATACTCAATCATATCGACTGAATAAACATTGTTATGAAATGATTAACAATTTTTGGTAAAATTAGACTGGAAGCTGAGGGTTGTATGTCGAGTAATTTATTACCTGTGGCATGTGATATCACGCAAATGAGTGATATACAATTTGTGGTAAGTCGAGCTGTGGAAACCTATGGAACTATAGATGTACTAGTGAACAATGCTGGATGCATGTATTATGAAATGATGAAGAATGGGCCAACAAAAGTAAGTTAAATCAATCATTAATTCATTCCTCAAGCATTAAAGAAAGTAACTGTATTTATACCAAATGGTACTTTTTTGAGAAGGAATAATGAAAATGTAATTTAGGAATGGAATCTTCAAATAGATGTGAACTGTCGCGGTACAATGAATTGTATAGGAGCGGTGCTTCCGCATATGATCAAAGCTGGATCAGGACATATTGTAAATATAACATCTGATGCTGGAAAACGTGTAAGTTATGGTAGAAATTAAGGTTTTGTTTTGGAATGATAGTGTATGGTAATGAAAGACATAAAATATTCTTTTGATTATATGACTTTTTTTACATCGAGAAGATTAGAGAGTTTCAATGGTGCATTCGAATCGATCATGCAAATTTTGGAATAATCTTTGTCTATAATATTTCCTGCAAAAAAAAAGGAACAAATCGTTCTTTATGGTACTATAAATTATAGCAATTAAGAAATGTTTGAAATAACAGTTCTTTAGTTGTATATTTTAGGGTTTTGCCGGATTAGCCGTTTATTCCGGAACTAAATTTTTCATCGAAGGCATGTCGCAAGCGCTGCGTCTAGAAATGGTTGAACATGGTATAAGAGTGACAAATGTGCAACCGGGTGATGTTGAAACGGAAATATCAAATTATTCCACTGATAAGGAAGTAAATAATTTCATAGATTGCATTTCTTATGAACATAGTTCTATTATACTAATGAAATTTGAACTTCACTTGGCTACTTGCTTTTCAGGCATGCTCCAAATATGATGTATCGAAAGCAGGCCATCCAATTCTCAGTTCTTCTGATGTTGCTCGAGCAGTACTGTATGCAGTAAATCAACCATCTTCGGTTGCTGTCAACGAAATTCTTATTGAACCTCAGGCTACACCCATCTAATTAATTGTTGTTTATCATTTACAGTCTTGAATTTATACAGAATGTTTCAAATGATTTGGGATGCTTAATTTGTTTTTGGTGATATTGGGCTCAGATTGTTTCATTATTTAATTTCACAATATTTGGATAAACTGCTGAGATGTATTTTAATCTTTCCAACTCAACCAGCTAGCATATTGATGTTATATTACTTCTTTATATCAGAAAATGTGGAATAAAGATTTCGTCAATAACTTAATGACGATTTCTCTGAAAATGACTTAAGTGATTGAGTAACTATTATTGCTATTTGGTGAACCTCCATAACTTTCTACGCAAATTTCAAAAAATGCAAAGCTGAATTGTAGGCAAAACAAAAAAAAACTTTATTATTACGATCATTCTTACCCGTTTTCCATACGGTTTATACTAGCAATTAAATTTATAGGTGCAGTTAACATGATCCGGATAGCAACCACCTTACTGATTTCATATCAATTTGAGGTTGAAAGACCAATTAGATGCATGCAAACTGCACGTCTGTAAAGTTGATAATAACAATTGTGTCAAGGTCGAAATTGCAGTGATTTCTTTCAGCCGAATGATGACTCCACCGATATTTTGATTCAAATTCACAAATAATTACGAGTAAATATCAAGAAGCAAATTTTTTTTATTTTATCAAAATAAAAAGAAGTATAACTCCATGAGAAAGCACTATTCGTGCTTGAATTGGTTGAGTAAGAGAAAAAAAAAACTCGAATATGGATAGATTGAAATAATCTCTCAAAGAAGAAAATTGAAATTCAATTGCATCAGAATATCGGATATTTGAATTTCAAAAAGTAAGCTGAAGATATATTGTTGTTAGTGTTGTTGTTGATACGATTACATTTAACCATCTTTTTTTTATTATGTGATCATTCAGTTGTAAATTACATGCAATTCAAGTTGATAGGGAGGTCAGAGGTAATCTTGTCAAAGGTAATCTTATCTGAGGAGGCATAACAATAATAATAAGCATTAATGTTGTAGAACACTTTATTATTCTGATATAGTTATATTTCAATAAATTTTTTTTTTAATAATTTGCTTAGCAAGAGCGAAAAGAAATGCCCATTTTATAAGATACCCAGTGGAATGATTGACCTTCAGGCAGTTAGCAAAGTCTCCTTTGTCGTATGATACATGTAATATGAAGTATGTGTATATCTATCGTTCGGCACATTCATCTTGTTAGGCCTTTCTTTTATCGAATATTTCTCCTCTCTTTCTCCTTCTTTCCCTCAATTTTCATCATTTTATCTACAACTAGCTTTCAGCTTCAAACTTTTTGCTTTACACATTTTTATGCTAACCAACCATATATGTATGTCATTCATTCTCTGTTCACGTTCTCTCCATGTAAGGGTGACTTTTGTCTCCTCTACTCGATATGTTGAAATTAACGTTTTACAATGAATTACAGTGAATAAATCTTTTCAAAACAGTACCAGTATCCATTCATTGGCATTCTCGCTAATCTTTGTCTTCTGAAAGGCAACGATTGTGCAATATTGATTGCTATCCAGATCATTAAGTAGTTTTGCATAAGGAAGAATTTTAAAATAAATAAAGATAAAACTTAGAATTAGTCCATCTTATCATTTAATAATCATAATATTAGAAGATATATATGTATATGTAAAAATAGCAGTGCACATTTGTCATTCATCGATGAATTTATTCCAACCGATACTGTTTGAGTATTATATTTCTAAATCATTGAGAAAAGTATTTATGACCATATGCTTAGCTTAGCCGTAAGAAAAAGTGTTAATAAACACTTTGTTGAAAAAATATTATAGCAAGTAAGCTGTGTTCATACTATTCGCTTCGTAATGCTAAGGCAAAAACTGCACGAGAAAAAACATTTGCAAATAGAAAAAATTAATTTATGCCGATGTTTTCTTCCGGTTTATAGTTAAGCTGCTTGGGAAAATCAACTAAAGTTGTCTGTTAAAAATTAGTAACATCTATGAGAAAAGATTACCCATGATAACACGGTCGATTATCGAACGATTAGACATTTATTAGTTATCATTGCAGTTATCATTTTACTATCATTACATTTTAATCAATTATTGCTCATCTAAAAAAAAAAAAAGACTACATATTTTTGTGCCTTCACAAAGTCGAAAGTAAGGGAACTTCTACTGCTAAACTGAAATGTAACATTACGATGAATATCGAAAGCAATCATATTCTCCTCTGATTGTCAACGATAACATTCGCTAAAATGTTACTAAGTAAAGTTACACCCTTAACTGAAAGGGTCATTTCTTCTCAATATTGTTCATTATTTATCCAAGTAGCTCTTTCTGTTATCAAAAGATTGATAATGGTGTTAAAAAAGTGGTAAAAATAGTAAGATGACAAATGACTTTTTTTTTCCAATAATTACATTATTTAGGAAATGTTGAATAGCCGCAAAAGGCTTGAAATTACTAATGCATAACGTATCTGACGTATAATTAAATAAATTAATATTAGGAGACATTTTAAAATTAAATTGCAATACATTTCATGATGATTTATGATAAGCAATGTTATCAATAAATCATCAATGAAAAAAAATGTAGGAATTATAATGCTACCGAAGAGTTTTAGCTTTGACGTTGTGTGATGACATTTTCTCTACGAACTGATACTTATATTCCTCAGATATCTACCATTAAAAACTCACTCAAAAATTTTGCTATCAATTATGTGTCAGAAATAAAAAATTTTTTGCTGCAAATAATTTCACACATAAAAACCAAATCTGAGAAACATTTCCATCTTTTCTTTTTGTTCTTTTTTTCCTTTTCCATATCTTTCAGACAACTGGAAATTTGTAGTAACAATTGTCCTTCACTCAAATTTTAGCCATAACATAAGTTTGATGAATGTGATGATAGCCACTATCGTACAGAATTTCATAGATAGAGTAGTAAACCATTTCAAAGTACACATCCAGATGTTGCTACTCTTTGTTGTGCTATAATGATGTAAGCATTGATGATAGATCAGAAAATAGTTATCCATTTTCTGCTCTTTCTGCTTTACAAATTGATTCATCATTTCTCATATTTCTCAGTGCCGGATACGCTCATTTCATTCATCCTTATTACTACCGGTTTATTTTTTTTTTTATTGTTACTGTTGTGTTTGTTGTTGATGTTAACGAAAATTAACGAAAAATTAAAATACAGTTAAAGTTAACTTTTGAAGAAGAATCAAAAAACGAAAAAAAAGATATGCGACAAAGAAGGTGGAATAATTTGAAATGAAGCATTGTAGCGGCATTTAAAGGATGATTTCAAACATGATTTTGCTGACATATCCATTATATTCAATTATCTCTGTGGTGATAGCTTACAATAAACATGAGGTAAGTGCATTTCCTTATCACTGATTTTTTTGTTATTATAGTTGAAATTAATTGCGTTATTGGAAGTATTTCGAAATTTGGAAAGCATTGAAAAAGTGATAAAAGAAAAGGAATTTAATTCGAAGGTTGGATAATTTGAAGTAAAACATTAAAATACTTCCGTAGTTTGGAAAATGATTAAAACATTAAAAATTTGAAGTAAAACATTAAAATACTTCCGTAGTTTGGAAAATGAAATCCATCGATGAACTCACTGTAGCAGTGGTAAATCGGTGGGTATATTTCAGATTGAATATTTGCAAGAATTTGGTTATTTGCCCAAACCAACGCAAGATGTTGCGGCAATGTTTAGCGAAACAATGATAGAAGAAGCAATCCGAGAATTGCAATTGTATGGAAATATACCAGTCACTGGGAAATTTGATACTGCTACTGAAGAATTACTGTCTAGGAAAAGGTAGATGATACAGTTTTCAAATGGAAAGTGCTCTTTTGTTAAAAGAAAAAAGTTTGCAAAAGAAATATTACTTCATTCATTTTAGATGTGGCTTGAGTGATCGTCCAATTCAAGTACTTCGTGAAAAACGATTTGCTTTAATGGGACCAAAATGGACTAAACAAATTATCACTTACAGGTAAATTCTTTTTATACTTCTGAAAGTGATTTTTCCTGCAGATTAATCAACCAGATTTTGATAAGAACTGATGCTGATTATCACTCTCTCACTCTCTCTCTCTCTCCATACATATACTGCATTTCTCTAATATACAAAATTTAAAAGCAATTCACAAAAACTGATTGGTAATTATTGGTAACTTTCGAAGATCAAATTTAACTTCTTGTTAACAATTATTTTTGGAACTTTCCCTACAAATGAGTCACCGAAATATTTTTCAATGAAATCATAGTATGTCTCTTTACACTTCCCATTTAAATCTATAAAAAATTTCAAAGAAAAAAAAAGAACTTAAAATAAAAATGACTATGAAAAATTGCTCCCAAATCTTTGGTCAGAGTTGTTGGGATGTATAGAAATAACACATCAATAAGTAAGTCATTATAATAATATTATTAATAATATTATAGTAACATTATTATTAATATTATTATTGGCATAGAGTATTACTACTAAATCCTCCAATAGTAGTAGTAGTTAGTAGTTAGTAATAGTGGCTCTAAGTTGAGGGTAGTGGTGATTATTATTATTACATTTGGACTTATTCAGATCATTGATTTATCGGTGTTTAAAAAGAATTCTTATAGAGAGACAAATTTGATTATATTGTAGAGGCGCAATTGGTGAGTCATTTTGTAAGGGAAGAAGAAGTCCGCATTGTATTTACAAATGAGTATGCAAAGGTAGGAAGGAAGTTCTTTTGATGTGATGTCTGTCTGTCAGCGTGCTTTTATTTGAAAAATTTCAATTAAGCAAAGGAAATGAAAACATTCAGAAATGTAAACTATACTGAGTTATAATTTTGCTAAAGCTATCAAACTTGTTGCTTAATTTGTTTTAAAGTAATAAAAATGCTGTAAAACTTCACATCTAAACTTTTTAGATCTAAATCTAAAGTTTAATAAAGAATAAAGAGGAAGAAATAGAGGGAAAGAGATAGAGAGGAAGAAAAAGAGAGGGAAGAAAAATGGTGCAAGAGAAAGAAAGGAAAAAGTTTTTAAGTAAAAATGTTAGAATGAAAGTGTAATATATAGCCAAGTGTTAAGTGTTAAGCCTAGGATGCTATGATAGTGATGATGATAATGGCAAGGACGGCCAAAATCATCTTTTCCCTTACAATAAGCAGCTGTTCTGCAGCTGCTCTACACAACAAATAACATCCGCCGTCAATTGTCTCTTCAATCTCTTCATACATTCTCGCCACTTTCTTCCACTACCACAGTTTTGATATTTCGTAAGCCTACTATTATTAAGACTTATTCGTAACCTTAATATTATTATCACTGATATCGTTTATTTATTTACTTATATTATTATTAATGTTATCGCTGAATTATTCATTCATTCATCCATTTATTTATTTTTTTTTATTGAACAGTACTCATTTCACTATTATCATCCGCTAAAATGTTATCATTTTGTAAATCAATTACTAGAATCAAGGATGACACTCATTGATATCTACATAATTATTTACCGTTTATCACTTTCTCATATAGTTTGTTATCCAAGTATACTGATTATATCAGAAACGTGTTTGCTAAAACACATTTTTAGGAAATATCTCTCTGATATTAGGAGTATATAAATGAGATTGATAATCACGTTATTAATCACGTTATTACGTGATTACGTTCAAATACAAACGTTTGACCCTTATTATTAGTTGAATATGCTAGTTAGTTGATGCAGTACTCTAAGTGGAACCATATGTTTATGATATAATCTTGCCTATTTCCCTCTTCCCGGTAATTCATTCCTTCTAGCAAACTTTATGACTGTCGAGAGAAGGCACTAATTTAGTGATTCGTCTATCTTCTGGAGAACATATGGAGAATGATTCGTCTATCTTTCCTATCATTCCTTTCTTTTTTGTCATCAATTATGAGAATGAATTTGACAAGGAAAGAAGAAAAAAGAAAAAAAAAATACATTTATGGAATTACCGCACTGTACAAACTCAATGGACAAATAAGATGAATTAAACAAAAACAAGTAATCTGGTAGCAAATAATCTCTCTATGAGGTCAGTAATGTAAGTCATAGTCAGGCAGTGTGTAACTTTTAGGTCAGATAGGAGAGCTACCTGTGAAAAGTTAATTAACCTTTTGAAGTAGCATGTTGGATGTTAGTGAATCATTACGCTTAATTTTGATAGATCATTAATTAACATATGTTATTGTGGGGTTATCAAGGTACGATTTTTGTCAAATCGAATTGCCATTCTGATTGTCTCAATAATTATAATGTGAGTAATTGAACTGAAAAATTCAATGATTGATCCAAAACGAAACGTTAGTTAGAATAGTGCCCGGTTCATTTATTTTATTTGGGACATGTATATAGGAGGAGAGGGCAGATGTAAACCTTCTGTTGATGTTCTGAAGTTGAAAGCTAATGTTTAGCCTCTGCTATCTCAACATTATATGACCACTGTCTGTTGCACATACTATTCCCATTCATTTCTCCAAATGTCCTCTCGTCATCCCGAAAAACATCAATTTTTTGGAAGCAGTTGTTCCACTGTTTCTAAATGGTTCTTCCGTATTACTATCTTCATATATGCAGCCTGAATTTTAGAATTGCTCAGCCATTCTATCCACCTATCTAGTTGGCTAATAAACTATCTTCTGAAATACTGAAAAGGTTGCATGGCGTTCAGCTTACTCAGCTGGTTGTATGATGTTATCCGGAATTCCTTCAGTTCATCACAACCTCCTTGAGTAAGCGGACTGCTTTCTTAACCTTTCGTCCCCTAAATGTAAGTCTATTTCAATTGCCTAATTTACCATAATTTACTGCATTCGTCTATCAATTCAACAATAATCTACAACTACCAGTGGTATGACTCTTCATCTTTTTATGATAACTCAGTTGCAAGGATGATAATTATAAAAAATGATTGGAGTAATTTTGTTTGCTGTTTGTTTTAATGACACATAGTCAATTAAAATTACCTTTCTAGAAATTAGTTTCTAGGGGCGTAAATTGGAAGCTCTCATTTTCTTTTAATCAATATTGATGGTGAAGTGATTGAAATGTGGAAGAAGGAAAAGATTTGTGAATTGCGAGAATCCAGAATACTGAATCAGTACGATTCTCTAGAAAGCTTGTGTAGCCAATAGCTAATATTCAAAACGACAGTTAAAATTATATCTAACCATGAGCAATAATAAAACAAAAGCTTCAAACTGTAGATTGATCTCAGTAACTCAGTAAATCAATTTTAACTGATAAATCATTCCAGACCATGTCATAATCTCTTTTACATTTGCAAATTACAAGAATTACTACGTATGTTAGTGGGTTCATTCACCAATCCCTTATTTTATATGAAATGATTAAAATTAGGGATTGGAAATATATGAAAATGGAATTATGCCTATTTCTTATATTACAAATTTTTCTTTTTCTTTAATGAGCTAACTTGAAAACTATAAATATATATTCGAAAGAGTAAATTATCAAAATTATAGTGTGGATAATCCGTCACGAAGTATTCCTAATTTGGGTGCAATACGACGTGAGATAAATGAGGCAATTAATAGCTGGCAACATATACTTCCGATGCAATTTTATGAGGTACGACCGGAAGCAGAAGCTGATGTAAAGATACGTTTCGCAGTAGGAGATCACGGTGATCCGTATCGTTTCGACGGAAATGGTAGAATTCTGGCACATGCATTTCCACCCGGTGAAGGAATTGGTGGAGACATTCATTTGGACGATGACGAACGCTGGACTGTTGCACTTACGGGCGATCCTTATAGGCAGCGTAAGTAAGCACGCTTTTTTCCTCTGATTACTGCTTGTTATGATGCGTTTCCAGTTATGAAGCGAATGTTACAGCGAACAGATCACTTGATGAAACTATCTTTATAAGAGTATTACTGCAGAATGACCTCATTTCTCAGTTGACAATTGCAGAAGTGAGTCTTCGTTCGATTGTAATGCACGAATTTGGACATAGCATCGGTCTATCGCATTCACATCAAGAAGACAGCATTATGTATGCCTTCTACCAGTACGACTTAACGCCAAAGTTGTCCTACGATGACTTATTAGCAGTTCGGACTCTTTATGGCGGTAATGGATTTTTTATGTGAATGACTGCTTTCTGCCCAATAATTAACTAATTAAATACAAATGACTTCAACTTTTCACTGTTTCAAGTGCGAATGATCATCTTCTGAATCAGAATGTATTAAACAAATAGATTTTTCTCCTCTGGATTATAAATGTCGCTTAGGATTCTCGAAATGTTTACGTTTCATTTCCATTTATCTATCACAGGAACAGATGCTATATCTGAAAGACCACACAATATTATCGATTGTACATATATGCAAAAAAAAAGAAAAGTGTTCATTCGATATATAGGATATCGTCAATATGCAGATAGTGAAATTCGATATTACTTAATATTAAATACACTATCAGGCCGTGATTATCATCCAGAAAAACCAACTGTTGCTCCTCAACCACATTCATCCACTACTGAACGGCCATCATTATTGCCAGAAGGACCTGAGCGACCCACAGATCGGTTTCCAACAATTCATCCAGAGTTACCTGTGCCAGAACCTGACCCGTGCAAATCCGAATACGATGCCGTCGCTTCCATACGACAAGAAATTTTCGTTTTTAAAGTTGCTTATCTCTTCTCATCCTATCGTTCTTCGTTTTAGAATTGACATTCGGAAAGATAGGAATCCGTTTCTACAAATACAATCCATACAAATATATGTATATATGTTCAATCAAATAATCTGTTTTCTTTTTTTTTTTTTTTTTTTTTCAGGACAGATGGTTTTGGCGGATACGACAAGATGGTACACTAAGTCAAAGTCCACGTCATATCAATACACTATGGAGAGAAGTGTCATGGCCTATAGATGCAGCAGTGGAGAGTGATCATCAAATATATCTGTTCGCAGGTAAATTTGAAGTTATTATTGTGCGTATCAGTAGAAGGAATTATCATCATGTTCATTATTTGTAATTAGTTGGGTTTAAACGAAAAAGTTATGGAATGAAATAGGTGCAATCGAGTGGATAGAATCCTTTCTGTTGTCGTTAGATCCTATTTGATTATTTTTTCTAATTTATATAATGCTAAAGATATTAACTAAGTTATGTTATATTTATTCACTTATTTATGCATATTAAGAATTTTAAGTCACAGCGTTATGAAGAAGTTCATTAATAAGTATTACTTTTATTTTTTTATTTCTAAACTGATGGCAGGTAAAGATATTTATATATTCAATGGTCAACACCTAATTTCGAAGAAATTACTCACCGACTTGGGTCTACCGGCTAGCATTGAACATATTCGACTTGTTTACACGTGGAACTACTGGACCGAGCGGCCGATGTACATCTGGACCAAAGATGAATTCTGGAGAGTTGATAAGGTATGAAAAATAGGAATAATGTTTTAGGTGGAAACAACTTTTTTTCTTCACAAATGCATGAAATAATTACATTGAACAATAAAGGAAGATAGTTACAGAAAACTGAAAGGGTAGAAATAGGTTATCCACGAAAGATCGCAACAACATGGCATGGTATTCCAGAGGAAGCTAGTGCAGCTGTTACATATAACAATGGTTGTTTTTTCTCTATACTTCACTTGATCTTAAAATAAATTATTTAATGACTCTTACTTTGAGTTTCAAATAATTCTTTCCCAGTTAAAGAAAAGGTAAAAATTGCACTTCTCATCTTTTATCGATTAATTCCTCAACGAACTCCTCATATCTCTTAACAGAAAATTGATAGATCTGATAAATTGTAAACAATCAAAAATAATAGAAAAATGCGGCTTGCTGAGATAGCTCCTTTATTGTTTAAAGAAAGCAAACGAATTCCTTTCAGACTTATACTTTTTCAATGGTAAAGCAGCCTACAAATTCCATACCATTAATATGACAGCAGCATCACCAATTAATGCCTCGCAATTGTGGTACTTCTGCCCAGTAGCAATGAAAATCTCAAGTAATGGAAATGCAGCACATATCTCATCCTTATCTAACTTTATTGTTATTGTTGTTATTACTACTATTTTTTCCTTTGAACACAAGTGGCCAATCATTTTACAATAGAAATGTAATAGTACTATTCACCACGGCAACTGTTTCGTGATAAGACAGGAAGGTAAGAAGGGCCCAGTTTCTTCCTCCCTGAATTAAATTTTATTAAAGCTTTAAGTACACGAACTCACTTCACTTCATTATTCATATAAAAATATTGTTGGATGAAGCTTTACCATTCAGGATAATTCCTGTTATCTTGTCGGCTTATAACAAGCACTACATTACCCTACCTATCTACCAGTTGAAGCAGAATAAATTATTAAATCAATGAAATGACAAAAACTATTAGATGCTTAGAAATTGGCACAAAGAATCTTTCCCAAACACAAAACTTTCCTATCAGCCGGCCAATGACCATTTTATTTTAATTCAATAAAGTACCAAAACAACGTAGGACCAATGCATCTTCTTCCCCAGTGCATTTTCATCGTTCTAGAATATGAGATAGAACAACTGGTATAATTCTGATAATTACCTTTTATCTAGTTGTATTACGATCGAGCTATTATCATTCTTTAAAGCAGCAACAGTAAGCAGAACACAAGAATACGTATGTACAAACAATGTAAACCGGCAACTGTAATCACGACTTTCATGATTTAATTTCCGTTGATTCCTGTTCCTGCTGTCGCATTTCACTGAAATCTGTCGAACCATTAGGAGTACCACTGTTGTTGCTTTGATTTTGAAAACCAACCGCTTCAAATGTCTGGTTCGAGTCACTATCGAATCCTCCTTCTGAGAAACCAGTGTTAGAGTCGTCATTCAAATTACCAAAGACACGAACTCGTGTTACATCGCTATTCTCTACAATAAGAACATCACAATAATATATTTCTAAGATTCTCTCCAGTGGACAGCTCTGTAATAAACAGTGCCTAATCCATTACTGTGAACACCTTTCAGAGCCCTGTAAAACACATTATATCTGTTGAAATATGAAATGCAGTTTCGTAGCTCAAAATCATATTGCTCCTCATTGAACAACAATCAATATGAATTATGAAAAAATGCTTAATGTGCCTTACAAGACAATAATACCTAATGCAGTAGAGTCTTGAGTATTTTCCGACGACGCAATTGTTGTGCTTTCATCTTGATCTTGCACTATAGACTTCTGTGGTATTTTTGTAATATTCGCTGTTGCAGTTACTGAAACAAAGTAGGAAGAGTGAACGTGAATATCATATAGATAAAAATTAAAATACTATGTGAAACTTCTAAGCCTTTTTCACACCAATTATGTTTAGTAAACTTACCCGGAACCCACCGAAACAACTTTATTTGAGTATCTTTAACGACAATCCATTTCTTTTCCCTGCAAAAACAAAACTTCAAAACTTTAGAGAAAAATATCGCTGCATCAAATGCAACATAACATTCTACAAACTTTTGAGCTATGCTACTTCCTATTCCGAGTTTGCTTGCCAGAAATAACTCAACAGTTATTAGTAAACTTTGATCACAAAGATATTAATGATATTGGTTGGGAGTTGGTCATCGGAAAATCCTGGGAGATGGTTGCTAGTTATTTAATTGGCAAAAAGAAAACTATCTTGAGATAGTTGGACCTAGTTTATTGAAACTACGATTAGCGCTATTCACATTGAACCTAGTTTACGATTAGCGCTGTTCATATGGCACTCTATTCAAACTATCTTTAAGTCAAGACATGAATTCCAAAAGTTACCATTTCCGAACTTTATCTACCGAATTAATGACCCGTTTCAATTCATCTTTCGCACGATTACGCGTTTCTGCCCGCTGGCTGCGTGCATACATATGCAGTTGATTAAGTCACGACGTATCTCAAATTTGAATACCTGAATTGTATTAACATGAAGTGCTACATCGACAGAATAGTTATACTAGGACGGATAATGAATAAATTAAAATGCAGTAATTAGCTGAAAATTTGTCCTACACAATGGTATTTTACCTCCCAGTAACATACACGAAATATGTAAAGTGTGATAAATATTTCGGCTATTCTGTGTGATGAATGAAAATAATACCGACTAACTCATCAAAGACAAACATGCACCAAAATGGACAAATAATCTCACTGCTGATTTCGTCTCCCAAAATAACCTCGAGACATCAAAAAGCAACGCCAAACTAGGCAACGGAAGTATAAACAAAGACAAAAACGAATAATTAGAATGAGCACACAAGCGATATCGACATAACAAATACAGCATTGCGTTATATCACTTTGATCGTAGCAGAGTGAAAATTGTTCAACTCAATGAAAACAGTTTGGTTTGGGAAATGAATGTTGTATGGTGAAGGGTGCAATTAAAATTTGGACGATTTAATAGCTATGGAATGTTTATATTCAAACATGACCAGGAAATTTCATTATAAACTTGCTAATTAGTACGCTTATCACCACTCTTTCTAGCCTTCCTGTCTTATTATTACTTAACTGGACTCAGTTCTCGTAATCTTCACTTTCACACACATTTACCGAGAGAGGGTGTGATTTTTAACTAATTTCAACTTATTTATGTTTTTCTAAGTTATCTGCATATAATCAGAACATTATAAATAATTCTAGTTACTACTCATCATAGCTTGCCTTATCAGCAATACTGGTGACTGTTGTTTGCAGCAAAGCAAAGTGAAAAAAAAAAAGATGTATTGGAGAAATTGTCAGGACCAAAACAGTAATATACTGTAGTTAATCGGAAGTTTATTAATGTCGTTAATGGACAGTTTGTCTGTTTGGAATTGTGAGAAAAGATTTAGTCGATGATTTTTAATAACCGAATTTGAAACGAAAAAGGAAAGGTGATGAAAAGTCAATTTTCTTTCTTTAAGTATTTAAAAAATTGATATTGAAGAATAAAAAATGAATAAATAAATACATATATATCAAGTGGCACTAAATATCATTCGGTAAATATTGATACGTTTGAAGTATTTCATTTCTTTTATTCTTGATCTACTAGTCTAATGTGCGCTTTAATGAAACAGAAAAATTTTATTCCTTACTTTCTCATACCTATATTATAGATGGATAGGATTGAATTTGGAACGTATATAACTTAAGAGAAGTTCTGGATTTTTGATCTGATCAGTTTTTGATATCGGTCACTGTTTGCTGCCAGTATTGCAAACATGCTCCCTTGGAGAACGGTGAGCTGAGTTTTCCGCTCCCCTCTCCTCCTCCCCACCCCCTCTCCTCTCCCACTTCTTCCTCCTCTTCTCTCTCCCTCCTCTTTTTCCCCTCTTCTCCTCTCTCTCCTGCCCTCTCTACCCCTCCCCTCTTCCTCTTCTCCCCTCCCTCTTTCCTGTCCTCACGCTCTCGCCAAAGAGGAAACTCTTTCTTCTCTCCCTGCCTCTTGTCCTCCCTCCCTTCCCTCCTTTCTCTCCTATGTCGCCCTTTTATCTCTCCTCTTCCTCCTTCCCTCCTCTCTTCTTTCCCCTCTTCTCCTCTCTCCCTCTTTCTCCCTCCTCTTCTCTCACTCCCTCCCTTTCCTCTTCCCCTCCTCTCCTCTCTCTCGTGTCCTCTCTATCCCTCCCCTCCCTCTTCTCCCCTCCTCCCTTTTGTCCTCTCTCCCTCCTCTTCCTTCTCTCCTACGTCGTCCTTTTATCCTCCTCTCTTCTCTTCCCTCTTCTCCTCTCTCGTGTCCTCTCTATCCCTCCCCCTCCCTCTTCTCCCCTCCTCCCTTTTGTCCTCTCTCCCTCCTCTTCCTTCTCTCCTACGTCGTCCTTTTATCCTCCTCTCTTCTCTTCCCTCTTCTCCTCTCTCTCCTGTCCCCTCTGTCCCTCCCCCTTCCTCCCTCCTGTTTTTTATGTAATTTTTTAATGTAAATTTATTTAATTACAAACTTCAGTTTGTTAGCTGCAAAAGTGGTTTCGGTGTTGGTGGCAACATACCAAGCTTTCTGGAATATGTGAAAACACGCGGCATATTCGACACATACATATGTTGGAGCAGCGAAAGCGATGTTCCACGGAAAATTATACAGTTGACTCGAAAATTTTGCTCCTAATTGGAAATATTTATGTCCATAATTTTGTAAAGGGGCATTTTTATCACCCAAATGTATTTTTCCTCTGGTCTTCATGTTTTAAAATGCTTTCATATATTGTTTTATCAAGTTACTTTACCATCCTTTTCCCAATCATTTAATTATGCCAACTTGTCAACAAAATATATGCTTATTCTCACGTTTAATCTTTTCCAATTTCATAAATTGCTGCTTTTTGGCTTACAATATTCTATCTGGAACAATTTGGCCATACTGTCCACAATTTGGCCAATACAGGAACAATTTGGCCATACTGTCCCTCCTGTATGTCCAGTATCTGAATTCCAGGGTGAATGTCATATTAATTTCATAAGGTTTGTCTTTTCCTTTCATTATTCTCACTTTTATTTTAAATTAAGGGGTTCCTTCTCCATTTCATTGCCAGTTTGTCAGAAAAAATTTCGCTAGCTTCAAATACTAAACTGTGAACACTCTTGACATATCTTTGTAAAGATCAATAACTTGTTCGTCTATCAAATAGTTCTTTCAGTTCGTGCCAACGTTCTAATCTTAAATAATATTATCATGATTATACTTGATACTGTAGCACAATCTATTACAGTGTGCATTATTTATCTTGGTAAAGATGGTGCAATGATGCTGGATAGTACAGACTATTTTATTTTGTTCACAATTACTGAAATAAAAGATTTAATAGGAGTTTGCTGTTAATTATACCTATTCCAAAATCTTTCATAATAACTTCGTCATCTTGTACAGGAAGACACAAGCAAGCTTCAGTTGGGATTGGGGACCTTCATTTCCAACAGTTGGCATTTGGTAGCCAATATTTGTCGAAGGAGTACATACGATATTTGTGGACAAGATATCAGCAGTAGTCTCATTTAAATGAATTTTAATAGCTCATTTAAAAGTTAATTCATTTCTCTCGTTTTCTTTATATTTTGCACAAGACATAGTTGTAATGATGAATTTTAATAGCTTGCAACACTAATATCCGACGTGAATTCGATGATTCTAATCGACTGCATATCAACTAGGATATTTTGGCCACTAGTGGAATTCGGGTATTTTAATCTCCGCTGATTTGTTCAGAAAATTTTGTACTAACACATTAATGGTGTAAAAAGGTTTATTTTTGCATAAATTCGTTATGCTCTACCTGTGAAGCGGGATGTAAGTCATAGAAAGTCTTAGATTTATCCTGCGAAGAAAAGATAACTCTTCAACTACATCAGTAGCAAATATTTCCTATATTATAATAATTATTTGAAAATATCTCGAGCTAAATTTCATTTCAAGTATCATTCAGTCCTTCTAAAAGACTGTAGGTTTTTTTCTTTTCTATATACCTACAAATGATGCATAAATGAAGTTAATAAAATTCGAAATGATTGGATCTTCCCTTTGTTTCATAAATTGTTATTTTGAAGTATTGCATTGAGCACTTGCAGATGGAATTAAAATAAAACGATTGTTTTGAAGAAAATTTACTCGTTTTATGTCGCATTTTCTCCATGTGATAATGTTTCATGTTTTCATTTTATATGAATAGTTTACATGCAGATAGCAGTACTAGTGATATAGGGTTTATCATTATTAATGAACACTGTTTGATAAATTTAATAGTGGCGAAATTTTCAGAATGCAAGTGCTTGCGAGAAGGCTTATGGTAACGAGTTCGAATTTATCACTAAGAAGACGTTTTTAATATGACTTTTCAATAAGATAGAATCCTTTCATAAAATCTGGTCCAAGCGTCTCATTACGAAGTGAATAATAACAATAATAATAATAGTAGTAATAGTAATAATAATAATAATAATAGCAACAATAATAATAATAATAATAATAGTAATAATAATAGGTAATAATAATAATAACAATAATTAATGACCAGTACTGATGATAAGAATTATTGTAATGATATTATAAATTAATTTGTTTTTTCTTAAAGTATCAAATAGTCAGGAATGTAATGGAAAATTAATAGATCTTTGACAAAATAAAAAACGTTATAAATTCTTGGTTTCATGATTAGACTTAAACGGTTTTATCATTAATATTTTCATAAGTATTATATTGTTGGCAATAAGAAAAAAATGTGCACACAAAACTGGATACGAAGATGATCATACTGATCGGAAACAAATTGAAACAATTTGTCAAAATTTATGTGCAAAAAAATCATAAATGCTCGTCTTAAAATTTCATCCATAATTTTTTGGTGTTATAAAGGAACATCATACAACAAACACTTCAATGGTGGTTAGATAATTCCAAAAGCTTTTAAATTGCTTATCAACAAGCGTATTTCTACCATCCCTAACATTTAATCCGCTTTTTTTTTTCACTTTAAAGAATAAAGTTATTTTAGTCAGATATAATTGTTTGCAAGTTTCTTTCAAAAATACGAAAAGTGTCACTTACAATTTTTTACTTTCTAATTAATTTATTTATAAATCCATTGTAGCAAACAAATTTGTTTATAGTTTTACGGGTATCACTATTATCATTTATTAATAGAATCAATAGAATAAACGATAACATTTTGAGTCCTTTGATTTGCTACTGATCTTATTTTTTTTATTCCATTTTTAATTTTCAACTATTCGAACTTCGATCCATTCATTCTTATCGTCAGTCTTCTCATGTTTGCACCACTTTCTTTTTGATATAACTGTTCAAGATCAGCATTTATCACTATCCATTCATCCTTATCACCAGTATCACTAATGATTTGAAAAGAGCGTTATAGTTATATTATCAGGATTCCTTAGCATTTACACCACATTAGTGTTAAGATGAAAAGAATAGAGTGGTAGTGATCGGGTTGTTATGGTGTGCATGGGCGGTATTTCGATAATGGAAAAGGAAGATGAAACTGGCGTGTGTCGTCGATCACCGCCATTATTCTCTTTAGCAATACTCTCCTTGTACCTGCTCTTAAATTATATTTTCTCTCTCACTTCCGAATAACTGAACACCATATTACCACCGTTATCTTTCGTTCTATTTAAGTAGTAGTGATAGTAAATGATGATGATGATGGTGGCAACGTGGTGATAATTGTGGTGATAATGAAATCATACATTTTACTTCTTACATTTTAATAGGAATAAAATAAATAATATAAAAGGTTAGATTATTTTGGTGACTTATATCTAATTAATCAGAGAGATAGTTCAAACTTTAATTATTTAGACTACAAAACGAAGTAGCATTATTTGGAAACGAAGAAAGAACGAGAGGATAATTTGCATACTTTCCGAATGATACTTCTCTTCCAACAATTATTTTGAGCTAAACTAACTATACTGGTGAGAAATTTTTTTTGCTATACTGTAAAGGAGATCTACCTCATTCTTGCTACCTGTACACCGGTACATGTCCAAGTTATATGGCATTATTAAAGCCCTTCCTTAGTAGGACTTTTTCAAGCTTTTTTGCTACTATCACTGGTGGTAGAAATTTGATAGACAGTATAGAAGAATTAATCACCACTAATTACTGGTTAATATTTGTCATGATAATTGTATGTACCTGTAGTGCACCTTCCAACGGAGCATTCTTTCTTAATGACCCTTATGGATATCCATTTGTATCACTACAAGACGATAGCATTGAATCCGTTAGTGCTACTACTATTACTACAACTACTATTATTTCTACTATTATTACTACAACTACTGCCACCCAGAGAATATTTCAAGAAAAAGCAAAAACATTTGGGCAAAGCGCAGAAGAGATTCAGAAAGTCAAATATTATCTGGAGAAAATTCAAAAATTTGAAGCTAAGCAACATCCAGAGGAAATCCGTCAACAACATACCACAAAAAATTCCGAAGCGATAAAGGTGGATATTTCTTAAATGTTATTTTTGCATTTTATTTAAATAAAACAATTTCTAGTTCAAAAATTCAGCATAATAATGAAAAAATTATTAAAATTTCAAGCAATTTTTGCACTTCTCTTCATTTACTATTTGACTTCTAAATCTTTTTAGCATACTTACCTAACCATCATTTATTATAAGCGATAATTGAAGATTTGAAGATTCTAGTGGTTTAATAAGCTAATTTAATTTTACTTGAAATTATGGTTTAACTTTTTCTTCGAAAAATTGTTGTGGTGCATGAAAAAATCACAGTACTTCTTAATTCTTATTTATGAAACTTTTCAAACTTTACAGTAATAATAGTCAGAATTGATGAAAAATTTTCGCAATAAAATAAATGAGTAAGATATAACAATAGTATAACAACCATTATTTCTTAAAAATTTTCATCAAAAAATTTTTTCAAATCATTTATTCAACAATAACAAAAAAAAACTTTCTTAACATTATCAATGCTAAAGAACTGTTTAAATATTTTTGCTTCGCAAAAGCCAGTGTAATGTATATAATATATTTATTTGTTTTATCAAATTTTTTCTTTACTTTAACTTTCGTTTAGAATAAAAGAAATAACACTGTCACAAGAAAACTAATTGTTGTTTGTAAACAAAAGAAAAGAAAAGAAAAGAAAAATAAAAAACAAAAACCAATAAATAAGATTGTACAGAGAGAGTGAGGTGAATGCGGCATAAGAAACAGGTTACGAGGACAAGAAAAAGAAAATACTGAACCTATGAACTATACTGGTTGCTTAATGACATTTTATTTTTAAAATTGACGACATTTTGTTGAATTAATCATGTCTCTCCCATGCATTGTTGTTGATTATATGGACAATGGAATAGTATCGTTAATATTCTCATACAGAAATAAAAAATTCAAGTTTTTGACAATGTAATGTAATTAAGTAAAACTCTAATCCATAGATTTAAAATTATTGCAGCACTAATGTTATTACATTGATAAACTTTAGTGATGATTTTTAGAATTGACAAATATTAGGTTGTCAGTAGTTTTTTTTCAATTATTCGGAAAGATTTGTTTACAAAGGAACAATAATGATTAATTTTAAGATATGCAAAATGTGAAAAAAAAAAAAAAAAATACTGCACCCCAAAAGTGAGTGATAATATTTTTGCAGATTAGAGTAAAAAATTTTTAAACATATTTCCACTAGTGACTAAATTTAATTACTTTGAAAACAGAAAAATAATAATAATAAAAATAGTCATTATGTCCAAATTAATAAGATAAATGCAACAAATTATTTGGACCAATTAGTTCTCACATGCGAAGTTTTCAGAAAAAGAATATGCTTTACTGCTACTGTTTGCTTTCAAATATTTACCATTCATAAAATCATTCTTAAAAAGAAATAATATTGATTATTGGGAATCTTTTGAGGTATTATTATTATTATTATTATTATTATTATTTAATACTTCCAAATTATCAAAAAAAATTTTTTCTTTCAGGTACAAAAGTAAATTTTCAACAATTTGTTATATTTTATAATTACTTCTTGAAATCTGTTCAACACTTTTCTCCTGCTAACATGACATAGCACTATAAAATTCATTTATTGATACAATCCTCTTAAAAATCTTTTCTCTGTCAACCAGTTTTCACATCTTATACTCAACTTGCCTAGAGAAAATCATTCATTTCATCATTGATAAATGTAATGTATTGTAGCAGAGGAAATGTACTGACAACTACAACTAGCACATGATATTTGGGTGAACAAATCGGAAACCCGAAATGCAGGATTTTTTACTTCATTATCAGCGATAGCAAATAAATAATTATTTTTTATTCATTATTATAAGAGAGCAGTCTAATAATGATAATTTTCTCCTAAATCTTGTTTAACAATATAATAAAAATACAGCAAGAACAAAATTATGATATAAGATATGGTATGATAAGACAAAGTGAAATGATTTATTTGATATTTTGCATCATATCCTTTAAATCATCGATAACATTTCGCTTTTTTCACAATAACTGAAACATTAATTTATTTGATAGCTTAAATTTAATCTTATATATCAAAATATGTTACAAAGGAAAAAAAAATTAATGGAGCGGGAAGCAATCGATCAGTTTAGATTATAATATTCCATTAACGATTTCACTCATTTTAACAACATAAAGAATCCCTTTGTTTTTCTTTTTATTCGATCAAGGTAAACGAAAGAAAAGAAAAAGAAAGAGAAAAAAAAAGGAAAGGAAAGAGATATAGAAAGGGATCAATATAAAATATGTATTTAGTTGTTGAACTCAATGATAATTAAATAGTAAGTGATAGAAAAGGAAAAGAAGAAAGTGATTACTGGCAAATTCTCTTAATCCACTGGATAATAAATTATTGCTAACAATTCATCTTCTCAGGTGCACGTATTGAAATTTCGTAACAAACAAATATAATCGTGGTTTAAATAATTGATTAATCAATATCGAATATTTTGTTGTTTAAAAAAAGTGAAATGAGCTGTTAGAAAAAAATGAGAAAATAAAATATATCTCATTTGACAGGACGATTTACAAATTGCAGTAGAAGTTGCGAAATTTGAAAAACGACAAAAAGATAGCATTACATTAAACCCGGAAGAAAATGGTCAATACTATGAAGGTAAGAGTTTATTTTTTAGTATATGATTAACGCATCCTATTGTTTCTAGCTGGAATTATTTATTACATTGAAGATGTATTTTATTGTGCTAATTAATTAGTGATGAGGATACCTGGTGATATCATTGAAATTTCTAAATCGCTTAATATCTTGAACTATTCAGCGCTACAACGATAAATATTAGACGCTTTTTTTTAAAGCACTGCCTTTATTGTTCAACCCTTTGACATCTGTGAGTATCACTATTATCATCACCATCGTCATCATCATCGTCACCATCACCTAGTCTCAGAAAACTTTTTCTTTTCGGACCGGATTATGTGCAGTCCATCATTTCCATCCTTTCTAATTCATTCTTTCTTCTCTGTATCTAAAGCGATAATATCCATATTGCCCTCTTTTAAGTATAATATATAAATATCTGTATATACGTACTACTGTAATAGCGATTATAATCATATTTAATAATCTTTGCACGAATTCATTTTTTTCTAGAATATTTTTTTATTGAAAGTAATTAATATAACTGGATCACATCGACCAGAATTTTATACTACTGACATAATAATGATGGATGACATTTGAAATTATATTGTACTTTGTGACATTTGAAATTGTATTGTAACGAAAAAAAAGAAAAAGCAAAAAAGGAATCACCGCTCAATTATTCACGACGAATTAGATTTAAAGTATATTGGAGCATGCTTCAAAGATATTTCAATATCAGAATAATTTAATGATCCTTGGGAAAATTTAAATTAAGATATGGAAGGTTATAATTTGCAAGTTAAAAAATTATGAAAGAATTATTATGATTATTCAGTTAATCACTTTTGACTTCTGGATGAGGATATATGCGACAGTAATAGTAAAATAGTTGTCCAGATATTGTATTATTTAACTTTTATTAAATCATTTAATTTTTTACGCTCATTGCTTCAGGTGACATTGTTTTGGACGCACAACAAGCTCATGAAATCTATGAAAGTATGATACAGCATGGACGGCGTACAAAACGAAAATTTATCCGTTCCGAATTACGTCGATGGGATTCACATAAACCGATTATTTACAGTTTCGACGGGTCACATAGTAATTTTTTTTTTTTTTTTTTTTAACAAAAAATGAGAATTTAAGAATTGCCAATGTTTATTGATAGGTATTTGAGTAACTTAATTTTTTTTTTAATTCTTAGAAATAAAAAATTTGATTTCACTTGAAAGAAAACTTTTTTTTCTCTTGCATTCATAGTGAACAAACAATATTTGAATAACAAAAACAATTACAAGCGCAAATCATATAATCACATTTTCAGTTTCATCAGTATTATAATCTGTAAGACAAAAATGGGAAAGAAATTAAAAAAAAATTAATTACTTAGGGCTGAAAGAATTTAGTCCATTTTTCATCGACCATTCTTTAAGCGAATTAAAGAGAGTAGAAATTATATCACATTTGTAACCGGAAAGTGAGAAGTCTTTTTCTTTTTTTTCCCTTCTTCTTTCCACATAGCCCTTTTTTAATACATGCAATTAATTAGTAATACACGAATTGACTTGTGTCAAATTACTTTTTTTCAATTTCATTCTTTCTATTTATGAGAGGAATTAGTATTAAATGATTGGAACAGAAAAAAAAAAAGAATGGACAAGTAGAAAATAAAAATGGCATTGTTGATTATAAATGAATTGCATAATTATATGTGCCTAATTAGATTCATTATATCGAAATATACTTGAAAGTTTATTTCTATTTCATCAATTCATCTTTTTGCACATTTATTTTGAAGGTTATTTTAAATCATATGAATCTGTCATATTCGTTTAGCATGGTACAGGTTTATAAGTAGGTATTTCTCCATTCAAATATACCACAAAATTATATACTAAAAAAAAAATCTCTTCAAATATCATACTGCTTGGAAAGGAAAAATTTCTCAAATTAATATCTGAGAATGAGAATTGAAGATGAAAATTCAAAATTCTCAGTGTTTTTTTCAAATTTTTAACAATTAAAGCAATTTTTTAAAAAATATTTCTTACAAATTAAAAAAGAAAGACTTTCCTCTTTTTCTTATTCAATTTTATTACAAAAATGTATTATTGGTAAAGTGCTGAGAAAACAATTCAGAAATTATAGTAAATCACTCGTTGGAATTTTGCCTTATGTTTTATTCAGTCAGTGGAAATCGAATGAAAATTTTTAAATTCTAATAATATTGATGTTAATTAAACACTGTTTTTATCTCTGACAAACTTTCAACTTCTATCTCTATAAGACTAATTTTGTAGTAATATTATGATAATTTTAGCTATACGTGAACAACGAGTAATCGAGTTAGCGCTTGAACATTGGCACAATATAACATGTTTGAATTTTGAGCGTAGAGATGATGAGATTCAGGAAAACCGAATTGTTTTTACGGATGTAGATGGATGCGCATCCAATGTTGGCAGACATCCTCTTGGTGAACCACAATTTGTCTCATTGGCACCAGAATGCATTCGAGTAAGTCTTATCTTCTGTTAACTTCTATACTATAACTCAAATGTAGATCGTTTTTAAGGTACCCGTAGAACGTGATCCAAGTATGCTAAACGTCTAAACTTCGATTTTTCAGATTGTAATATGCAAATATTATTTATCTTAAAACAGAACTATGAAGGTTTTATTTTATAGTTAGTGAATGATAATTTTTACGAGAAAAAGATTTGCTTTATGTTTTTTATTATTATTTAGTTAATGGAAATCGAGTGAAAATTTTTTAAATCCTAATAATACTGATACTACTTAAAAAAGACAATTACAGTTAGGAGTGATAGCACATGAAGTGGCACATGCATTAGGTTTTTGGCATGAGCAATCGCGACCTGATCGTGATAATTATGTTACGGTTCGCTGGGAAAATATTGATCGTGATAGCAAGGGACAATTTCTAAAGGAATTACCAACTGATGTAGATAATGGTGATGTACCATATGATTATGGTAGTATTATGCATTACAGGTGAAAAGTCGCTTCACTGTAATTTATGCAAGCCTCAAAATAATTTAAGAACTTATTAATTTTCAAATATATTGCATCTCCTGTTATTAAGATCTTGTTTTTTTCGTTTCCTTTTTGAACAATCCTAGAAAGTAATAGTTAATTAATAAATCATGAAACAGAACTATTAATGAAATGATCCAGTTCGTTATTTAATCTAAATACATTTGAAAATGGGCAGAGAGTGGATGAGATTGTATATAGGAAAAGAACATTCGTTTGTTGTTAGTTCACTTCAAACATTTACTATGAAAATTAAATTACAGAAGCAAAGCATTTGGTCGATATGAGGATTTGTTTACACTGAATACTAATATAATGGATTATCAAAAGACTATTGGACAACGAGATCAATTATCATTCAATGATATCCGTCTTATGAATGTCATATATTGTAGTGATTCATGTGCACAAAAATTACCATGTCAACGTGGTGGTTATACGGACCCAAGGAGATGTGGACGATGTCGTTGTCCAGATGGATTCACTGGAAAAGTATGTATATGTATTATACTTTTTTTATTTAAAATTTATTATCGTATATTCAAAAAAATGCACTGCTTTATAGACATGTAAAAGATGACAATTCAAAAATTATATAAAAATAAATATTAGAAAAGAATAGACCAGAAAAAACTAGTATTCAAAAGCACTGTTCAAGAAATATTCAATTATGTAGCTAATTTCCAACATTATAAATCCTGACAAAAGATTTGAACAAGAATAAGAAAATCAGATATAATTTGATCATTTTAATAATTCGAAGATTGATAATAAAACGATATCTTAATTCTTTTGTTATTTAAATTACATTTTAACAGCTTTGTGAACGGATAATGCCAGGATTTGGAGCAGATTGTGGTGGCCGCATAGAATTGACGTCTAGTTGGAAGCGTATTACAAGTCCAAATTATCCCCGAGATTTTAAAGAGGGACAAGAATGTAGCTGGCTTCTTGTGGCTCCACCTGGTCAACGTGTACAGTTACGCTTCTATGGTGAATTTGAGATGTACTGCAAAGTGCGGCATTCACTTTGCATGGATTATATCGAAATACGTAATTCAACTGACTTTGCTAATACAGGAATGAGGTATTGCATACTATATTTACACTTCTATATAATGTTACTAGTTTATTTCCAATAATAAAAGATTTATTACTAAGACGTATTGCTTATATTCAAATTAATAGAAGCGGAAATGATTTAAGATGAAGATGAATATGATTAAATCTAAGCACTGAATTTTGTGGAAAGTGAAAAAAAAAGAACTTCCGTCAACAAAATATAACTTTAATCTTCGTATTTCAGATACTGTTGCTACGGGACTCCAAAATCATCGATTATGTCAGCTACTGAGGATATGTTAGTGCTCTTCCGATCATTCTATCGTGGTGGCAAAGGTTTCCAGGCGCAGGTACGCGCGCTACCAACAACCGGTTTGTTCTTAGCGTGGTCCGAGTGGTCTGCGTGCAATGCATCGTATGGCGCCCAGCACCGTATCAGGCACCGTCGACGTATCTGTGTCGATGGTGCCTGCATGTTAGTTTAGAAGTCCTTTCCCCATCATCTCCTCACCCATGTATTGAAAGTTGTTTCGATTATCCATAAAGATTTATGAAATTTCACATGATGAAAATATAATTCTCCTATTAATGGAACAATTTATAGATAACTTGACATTAGCTTAGAGATGCTAATTTAGACAAGGAGGTTATTCTGATAAGGGAGTACAAGATGTAAGTGTTATCCTGTTCTTCTATTTCTTGTGGTTTGCATCCATGAAACATGAAACAAGTAAATTAAAGAGGCAACCAATTAGAAGTCAGACTAATATTTGGCTAACATCCTAGATGATAGATGATAACATACGTATCAAAGATTTTCACCGACCACTGCATTAACTTACCTAACCTGCACATGATGATTGGTGAGTGTTCTTTTAAAGCAAAATGATTGATAATTGTTATAGTGTTCAACATTCGAACGGTGAGGTCTATGGATGAGTTTAATGCAAATTTAAACAAGCATGCAGTGGCAGATTCGTAGCACTATTTGGCGGAGATGCAAATGGTAAGAATTATCAAAGCAATAATATAAAGATTATGCAAAAATCCCACTGCAAACAACCATTAAAAGTACGGGTCTCTGAAGCGAATCATCTGGAACATGTTTGAATCTTTCCTATCAGAAGATATGTGATGATCAAAGTGTTATGATAAACAATACCATAAAATACCGAGCTAGAATGTTAAAGTAATTATTTACTGAAAGTTTTACGAAACATTGAAATCAGATGTTGAAATTATTAAAACGAATTAGCACGAAAAGGTCTTGACCAATTCCTATATGGAAAACCAAGGATATAAATTTATATGATATTTATTTGCTAACAAATCATTCCAAAATTTTATATTTCAGGAAAAAACGACTTCCGAATCATGTACTGGAATGCTGCTTGGATTATATTCGCAACGAACAGTGTTTATAATACCTTTTATAATACATATAGCAAGAAAGAGGATAACAATTGTAAAATGACTACTGAAAATACAAATCTTTAACTTCATTGGCATGTGCTAATCTCATGTTTGAAGTCTTAAAACGAGTGAACCATAATGATCTCATCATTGCATAAATGTTTCTAAATTACACAATTACTGACATATCACTAATTAAGAAACAAGAAAAACATTTGTAAATCTTCACGATAAATTAGCTACCGATATATAGAACGAATGCTGTTACAAATAAAATCAATTCTTATCTGCTTTCTTTAAAAAACGTGGGTCTGAAACTAAACACATCCAATCCAGATTTTTTAGTGCTGTATTCAATTTCACCAACTTTCGTCGTTGCACTTCGAATGTTTCCTCTTTGGCTGTCTGAAATGCATATTTGCAACACAAATAGCAACAAGACTCTCACATAAATCTTATTAATTATATGTTTCATAAGAAGGTCTATTACCGTTCAATCTTCATAAGTTCAACTACACATGAAAGTTTTTTTTTTTTTTTTTTTACAACAATAAATACAGGAAGACTCGTTCAAATCCAAGTAATTCTCACTCAATTTCCTAATTTTGTTAAATAAATCATTAAAATGCATAAAAATGATAAGAGTACTGTCACAGATTTTCATATCACATAAAATAAGAAATTAATACCAGTTCAGGGGGTTTTTGTGGAGGACTTGGGTCGCTCATCAATGTAATGAATTCATCTTCACTGATATTAGCCACCCTTGGCACATAATCAATTCGAAGTCTTATTTCCGTGATCTTCGATAAAATATACTCACAATATGAAAGCAGTTGTTCTGGATCGCTCACACCCTGCTGCTGATGCCAACGATCTACTGATTTCGTTAAGCTTGTCATAAGTGTATAAGTTCTGCAAAGAAATTCAATCATTTCTGCTCTTAATGCATTAACCAAAAGACAAGCCCATACCAATCAGAAATTTTATTTCCATGAGTTCCTTCAAGAATGATCAAGCTAATCATCGGACTGCATTAACTCATGTTGTACTAAATGACCAATTAGTTCCTGGAATCCCGCTAAATCAAACTTCTTCACTTTGTCTAGAATATAAGCAAACAAATGGATTGTTATAATAAGGAAGCAGAAAGGAAAAAACGGTGCAATGCATGACATTAACACACCTCAACAATAATTCCTGGACCAGTTCACGACCAATGCATGCCAACGAAGCAACCGAATACTTCGATAAATCACTTAAGATCTCGGGAGAATATGGCGGAGGATTCATTGGTCGAGCTGCTTTTGTTTCGTCCTTTTTTGATTTTTCACCGACTTGATCCGATATTCTGCAATTTTAATAACTTGGATTGGTTATTCATCTTGCCGCCTTTGTACGTTTTAATATCAATATTATTTTTTGCATATCACGAATATAGTGCCAGCTCTTAACCAACAATATTGTCCATATATACCTTTGAGTACACTGTTGTGGTTGTTGTTGAGGTTGATATGATTGTCGATTTTGAAATTGCTGTTGCTGTTGTTGTTGCTGCTGCTCATTTGGCGTTTGTGATTGTACTCCTAACTGATAATTAGACTGAGAATGTGATGATGGCCTTATACCCGGTGAAGATTCCTGAACGGTACCCGCGGAATACTGTCTTCCCGGCATACTTTGTATATTTGCACCTGTACCACTATAGATCTGAGCTGCCGATATACTTTGCATATTCATTACCTGCTGTTGCTGACGTTGATCTATTGTGGATGGTGGATAACCCATCATCATAGCACCGCCTGCAGCAGTTCACACTTGAGCAAATGTTCAAATCCCTTTTACTACAGTCTCTCTTCCATTCACAAAATCTACCATGGTACTTTCCGCAATATTTTTTTCTTACCAGATCTTTATCTTTATAGACGTATGTCGTCCTTAACAGCTCACATATTTGGGAAAAACTCGAGATTGTTTAATATTACACTGATTTCTTACTTCGCACATTTTATGCTTATCAGAATTGATTGGATACTGATATAATCACAAAAGTATATTTGCCCCGGACAATTTGTATTCAATTCTGATTTGCAACTAAGAATAAATACCAATCAAAAGAAACACACCTTGAGTCTGTTGATAGTATACCGGCTGATTCGGACCAACGCCTGAGTTCTGCATCTTACCTGAAACAAAATCCCTCTATGTCAACAAAATATGATGAATACATTCTATTCTTCGTTTCTCATTTAGTGACAACTTACCAAATTCTAGCAACATCATTAAATCTCCCATATTTCTATGAAACAGTGTCAAAATATCAAAGCGATCACAGATCCTTCATTCAAATAAACTTTAATCAGCAAAGGAACAAGAAACACAATATCAATTTATGAAAAAATAAGAATTTATTTATGAGATCACAAAAAAAAGTAAAGATATGATTTAAAATTTATCAAGAAAATACAAACAACTGCCATGAATCACAAGCATATTATTAAATTAGACACAAAATTTCTAATTAAAGATCATTAGTTATTGCCTTACGAAATTCTAAGCCAAATATTCGTTACAATAAAAGGACAAATTCCAAAATTAAATACCTAGTTTCACATGCTACATGTAACTTTAGTGTTAATCAGATTTTCTTATGGAGCATTTTCCCATGCAGTTCTTGCACTTTATATAGAAACTAAAGATCAAACTCAGATTTTCACTGTATGACTTCTAAACTAGGAGCAAGTTTTGCCAGTTCATTACGAGTGTTGATAAAAGCACCAATTAAGGCCCCAAGCTGTAAACGATCTGAACAACCCTGCGACAGATGATATTCGATATCTGCCATACAAATCAACAATCGACTCAATAATTCTGGTGGTACTACCAGACGGAAAATGAATTCATGCATTGAGTTTAATATATCACTGAGTGCAAATGCTCGTTCAGTTCGAATTTCTTCTATTTCTGCAAAATAAAAACAGCGGTAAAAAGTTTGTATTGGTTTCTATCAGATATTTACCACTGCAAAAACAAAAAGTTAGCAAGACCTCGTAATTAAGACTTCAGCGGAATTAAGAGTTTGATATGTTAATGTTAAAAAAAACATTAACATATCAAACTAAGCTATTAAAAAAAACCATATCAAACTATGTAATTAAAAATAGTACCCTAAAGAATAAAAATGATAGTCTTCAGAAAATATAAAATCCTCGCTAATATTCACTAATAATTTTAAAGGATTACTTGTGTAAGCATCTTCTATTGAGTCATTTAATAGTATTTTCACAATTTTTTCAACATCAGTTGGTAAAGGATAACCCACACACCGATAAACATTCGGTTCATCAACCGTTTTAAAAGCCATTGCTGTGCTCTAAAACTCATACATAAATCACGGAAACCAGATAGTTACCAGAAAGTTATTGTTTGAGCAAATATTTTGTCATCCATTAACTAATAGATAAGGTTCTTAATAAAAATAACTGATATTAGAAAACCCATTTATCATAACATTTTTCAGATGATAAAATATTTGCTATACAAGAAGTGATATGATATTATATATAATTACTATCCTCTTTATCCATCAGCTATTTTTGAGTTACTAGTGTTGCACTCATTAACTTTCACATTACAAATCTAATTCAATCTAGAAGATACCTTCAGAAGTAATAATCATGAAATAGAAAATGTTTACCTGCAAAATGTTTATAACCCGTCTCATGTCTCCTTCGGCCAAATTTAGTAATGCTTTCTGACCATCTTCCGTTACAGTGAGTGTTTCCACTTGCACGATATGATGCAGCCGTGGCAATATTTGCTCCTAAAAGAATACCTTATAAGTCTTTCATAATGAGATAAATGCAGATGATTTTTCCCTTTTAAATCATTCAAAATTTGAATGTCATCTGCTTGCTAGAAATGCTTGCAAACAAAATATTTTGTACAAAAATATAACATTAATGAAAAGACTAACATTTGAAAGTGGAGCAAAACGTAGACGTGTGCACCGCGATTGGATTGCCGGGATGATTTTCGACAAATAATTACATATAATACAGAATCGAACATTGTCCGTGAATTTCTCAATTACACGTCTAAAAGAAGAACCCATTTTAAGAACAGAAAACATAACTTCTGTAGATCAAATTAATCAACTCAACACAAAAATACCTTAAGGCGCTCTGTGCATCTTTCGTCATAGCATCAGCCTCATCCAAGATGATCAATTTCGGGACACTGCTTTGATTCTTGTCCACATTTAAAGTGCTTGTTTGAGCAAAATTAATGATCTGTTCTCGAACAATCCCTATGCCTCGATCATCAGATGCATTTAGCTAAAAAATATGAATATAAAACTGGAAGAAATATTGAAAAATGGAAATCATGACTCGAAAATCTAAAGAGGATGTCGACAAGAAAGAAAAATATTCATATCAAGGAACCTGTTTAGGAAAGTTGTAGTGCAATAATATAAAAGCTTTCTTGCCACTTATAAAAAGGAAACAAAATGTTGAATAACAAGTGCTATTTTCATAAATTTCGATTTAAAAGTGCACCTCTAAAACCATCGACGATAATTGCTTTGATGTATAGAGCATCCTTGCAGCAGCTAATATGGTACTCGTTTTTCCAGTTCCAGGAGGGCCATAAAATAGTAAATGCGGCAATCGATTTTCATTGATCAATTTCATAACTAAATCAGAAGATACAAATATGATGTATTACTGACCAAAAATAAAATGTAACTCCAGTGAAAGCTTTAGCAGTAATTCTCTCATGGAAATGAATGGTAAGTTTAGGAAAATCTACAAACTAGCATATTATTTGGTATTTCTTCTAACATGGATCAGCAAAAAGTAGCACAACTCACGCGTATCAGTGATTTCTTGATGAGAAACAAGTTCAGTGAGAGAAGCTGGACGATACTTTTCCACCCATGGCATATTAATCATACCACTTTCTCTCATCTGACCATCTGATACCATCGTCCACAATTTCCCTACTTGATTAAAATTCAAGCAGCCCTCTCCCGGGTATTCCAATTCAGGTCAAGACACGAGTTGCGAATGGTAATCTTCCGAATTCTTACAGAGGTTGTGGAAGAGAATTATTCTTTTGAGAACAAAAGGTTGAAGTATTACCTAATTTCTGATTTCTATTTTCAATTTATCCACCTTTGTCACTTTGCTTAATGATACATGTCTAGATCATTCGTAACCTTTACATTATGCAGTCATTAAGATCAGTATTAAAAACTGCCCTTATCCGGTCTAATGTAACTTGTTCTGTTTGTATACATCATTAATCTTATATGGTATATGAATAATAGTTGCATGAAGTCGTGATAAAAAAAAAAAAAAAAAACGTTCCTAGCCTCTAACCTCTTAAATTTGAACTTATAGTGTAATTGTTTAGATTATGTTTATAATTCTTTCATAAGTAGTTTAAATTATTTACAGATTATCTGCTATACATTGATCGAAGTTATTTTGTTTACCATTATTATTTTCTTATATTAAATCTATTTGTAAAGGTTATTTATTGGTGAAACACTGAAATAATGCTAATAAAAGTTTGAGCTTTGTCCAGGTTTGTTATTTCAGATTAAAGTTTGGAGATGGATTCTATTGGAAGCGGTGTAGCATCATCAGGTTCATTACGTACAAAAATATCGTTAAAGGGCAGATATTCGCAGCTGTCGTTAGTGTGTCCTTTTCATTTGATGAAACCCGAGTTACCGCGTGAGTTTCATCGTTCTATTTGTTTTCTACTTTTACTCATTAAAACGTAAGTAGATAACAGACATGATTTAATTATGTCGAAAACTCGTGTATTAAAAGAAGTGAAAAGCTGTGTGAAATCTTTATAATTCTTTTAGTGTGATGGGGAGGTCAAGAAATATGCCATAAATTACTGGTAGAGTTTGAAATATTCTCGATGATACGATCGTTTGCTGTTTACAGTTTGATAATACCACTTGTTGTGATGAAAGCTGGCAGTCTAATGAAGTAAATCATGAAACTTCTCCAATATGAGTGCAATTTGATTGTGTTTAAATAAAATTTCCGAGAACTTTTTTTATATATATGATAAAGGATTCGATTGGTCTAGTTATTTGGGACTTTTTTGAGGGAAGAGTTTTACTTATGAATGTTATAGAACAGAGCGTTTTACTTGGTAGTAACGATTTATTGGCGGAATATGATATGGGCTCATCTTATCAGCGCTTTTGTGGCTCAAAGCGATTACGGGAGGATCTCGGCTCCTTCCTCCCGCATCTTGTTGGCAGTTTCAATTTCGAAAATGCTTTGGAATTCAGGTTGGTGCAATCTTTTAACTACTGATTCTGATTTTCGTGGATACTTTTTTCAGCAGACGGCCGTATCAATGTCGGTAGCAAATGTTAAGGTGTTAAAACGATGCATTTGCTCAGGAACTTCAAATAAGGTGAAATATACAGAAAACAACTTTGAATAGGTAAAGAATAATAAAATTTGAGAATTGTTTCCTTTAGACTTCATAGTTTTTCGACTTATTGTCATGTTACTATGAGAAAAGGAACCGGATCCATGGATGAATAGTTCTGCTGGACTTTTTAGTGATCGTTTCGACATGTATTCTTCATTATATCTTATTTTAGTTCATTGCGGATGTTGGTGGAAAAACCACCGATCACTGGAAAGGAGATTACCAGCCTTTCTGCGGGTGCAATGGCTGGATTTAGACTCACGCCAGGTGCGGTCCCCGAACCCTACAGGTGTTTTTAAACATACGGATTTATTATCGAATAATGTTTAGTAAATATGCACATAGTACGGGACACACGAAATTGTGTTAAATTAATGAACTGAATTTTACGTAAATTATATTGCAAAGAAACAAAAGTAAAATTAGAACTTGAAACAAAATTTCTGTGTAGCTTGAAATTATTATCCCTACTTCATTGGCTATAAACTGTAGATATTTCGACAATAAAGTAGACGATCTGAGCAGTGATACAATGAATTATGATGAGAATGGTGAAGAAACGAAGCATAAAAGGAAGTATAAGTGGAGCTTGGATGATCTTGATGGTAAATTTTACATCTTTTGTCTTCAAACGGAAAGCTGTATTTATAATCTCATTTGCTTTGAAGATGCTGATTTGGATCGAAAGTACAGGAAACATCGCAGTGAAGATAAAGACAGGAAGAAAGAAAAAAAGAAGAAAAAGGATAAAAAACGGAAGGTAATTACTGAAGCTACTTACACACTAAACTTTTTCGAGAATTAACATTGTCCCTTTAATTTAACAATAATCTTTAGATATAAATATGACTTCGACTAATGTCAGACCATTTTTTTACTCCACGTAGCAATCTTTGAACAGGGTTGAAACCTGTAACAGGTATGCTGCGTAATGGTCTGAAATTCTCTTACTATTACTGTTCCATGCAAACATTTCATTTTCAGAGAGATTCAAAAGAAGAGGATCAAAATAATAAAGTAAGAAAAGTGTGAAGAATTTCTGAGTTAGCTGTTGAAAGAAGGCAATGTACGTGTTACATAATATTGTATCTGAAAAGAGAAATCAAAAAATATATGAATAGCTGAACTTAATTGAAAAGAAATAATAGTGATCATCACACATATATTGCGAGTGCATTTCCTTTGACATGAAAGCGTTATCATCGTTGTTGACGCATAATTTGCATTCAAGTATGATCTTGTGTGTTGAATTGTGATGCAAAGATGGCTGCAACTGGCTGTATTGTATCCAGTGGTACCAGATAATAGTTTACTGTTGGCAAATTCCATCTAATCTCGACTATTATCTATCCACTTTCTTAGTAAACTGTTTCATTGGCGCAAAACTTGTCCTAACCAGTTCCTTTTCTTCCACCTTAACAGTTTCTAATAGTCACCTTTTTTTTTTTTTTGTTTTCGACATATCTTATTCATTTTTACTTTTATTTTATTTATATTTATTGTTAAGACAATCTTCTGTACTAGACAACTTTGTTAACCGATTTATTCGATAATGGTTTGCTACAGATATTATTTTATTGCATAGTGTAAGATGCTTTTTCAATTTTCCTTTCTGACCAAAATCTAAGCAAACAATGAGAAAAAGACAGTTTCTCCTCATATCTTTTCTGCCTACAAAATACTGTTTATGGTCTTTGAATGCATTAAGTATTTAGAGTAGTAAGAAAGATTTTTCCAATGAAATTATCAGTGGACTGTTTTGAACTAGATGCCACTTTTATGAAAACTTATTAAATATTATTGGACTAAATTCCATTCTGTTGTAATAAGATGCTTTCTCATTCTTAAATTTTTTTGATTAAGAATGAATATTTTCATTAGATATTAGAATACTGTAACATAGACTGATGATTTCCTGCCAGAGTTTAACAGTTGTTTATGGAATGTTTTGCTCAATTTTTTGTCGAGACAGGGTTGTAAATGTCAGGATAATTGAAATATGTTAAGATTATAGCAATGATGAAATGAAATATGTATCGTGCAACTTTAGTCATGAATTGTTGTGCAGTAAGCCTTGAAAACAGTAAGGTTTGTGTGTTTCACAGAAGACAGTAAGATTTTCACCTTTTTATGCCTTCTAATAATCTTTGCATAACGAGCTGTTTTATAGCAACCTTCAAAAACAAAAACATCTCATAGAGTAAGTCAAAGCTACGTGAATATTTATTAGATTATTCTGTGAATCTGAAAAGAATATGGAACGAATGATCGATTGCGAATGAAGCAGCGACTGTTAGCAGAGTCGTGTTAAAGAATTTACTAGGGTAACTGCTGCTAAAGTTGCTCATTCTTCTGCTTACGGTAGTCAAAATGGATTACTCTGATAGTTTCTACAAAATTAGCGAAATTTATGTTCATTTTATACTCTGTGAACAAATGAATCATTATAGTTGGCTCCCGATAATCATTAGGATCTTTCTTATCCTTAATATCTTATCTGTTAGAATAGCTTAGATATGGAAATTTTATCATTATAATGTCCCGTAATATGAACAAATATCAAAATTTTTTTTACAAATAGTATCACAGATATTAACAAACTATTAACATATGAGATAGAAAAATAGTAAACCAAAATCATTCTTAATCTACTACAATGAACCATAAAAATATTCTTATTATTACCATAATGGAATTAATACTTCAATAAACATGTAAAAATAAATATTGGTAAGAATGAATAATAATAATAGCACAGATTGAAGGATAAGAAATCGCACTGAAATTTACGTTTCAAATGTATCAGTGCTTCCCTAAAATAGACCAAGTACAGAAGTAGTAAATTATATTTAAACAGAATTTAAAGAGTGTAAAATATATTTAAAGAGAGATTTAAGGAAGCTTAAAATGTAAGTCCCATCATTTTCGATGATAGTATGAGAAAAAAAGGGTAAAAATTGCAGATATGATTTTCCAAGATAACAATAGAGAGGCAAGCATTCATTATCTAAAAATAATAAAGACTCTTTCCTGGGATATTGAACATTTACACCAAAATATGATTATTTAGAAAGCAGAATCAGTGGAATACTTTTATAAAATTAGAATAGCACTAGCTTATAATATTCATATTTATACTTCCTGTATTATATATATAATGATAGATAGCATTCTGGCACACTATATCACTCTGTTATTTTATCATATTGCCATTAAAATATATTTGCAGAATGGTTGACTAAATAATGCTTCTCGAAAAATTGATAATTACAGCATTTTTACTTTTTATTGTACTTGTAGCGATCAGATCTTGTTAAAGTACACAAAAATCGTTCGCTTAACTTAATTAACAAATGCTAATTTGATTTGAATAATATTCCAGCATTCTTTTACTTCACATATTGTGAAATTAAAAAGACAATTACTGTTGTTTATGATGTAAGTAAAATAAACTAAATCTTAGCAATCATTCATGGCACAACAAATTAAATTTGAAACATTTTGTGTGTAAAAAACTCCCAATAATGCATAATAATTGAATGAATGAAATAATACTAACGAATTACCTTATAAATCTACTTTATCCGAAGCTTTTACTATCAAATTACTTGCCCCAAAATTAAATATATCTTTTAGTATTTTGTGAACAGAGTAAACGATGCAAAAATTCAACATTTGCATAACAGACTAGTATGGAATTTTTATGCCTAAATGAACTACTGTCTAGGCAAAGAAACAAATCGGAAAGGAATCTATTAGCCAAATTTGAAATGGTCAACGAATGACTAAGCGTTGATGATATTATTGATAGCAAAACGAGATTCTTTTACAATTATTTGGAAAGGAAAGAAAGAAAAGGAGTGAGACATATGTGCATTAATATAAAGAACAAGTATTTTATTTTGGTATGCCAACCTAATATCATAGTTCATAGGATTGAAACAAAAGGTCACTGTACATAATCACTCATAAATTCGACTAAAATTAGATCACATGAAGTATTACAAGATTACAACCAATTCAATATATTTAATTCATCTTTTTACAATAGGGAAAAATGTGTGCATAAACGAAAAACCATTTAATGTTGCCAAACTAATCATAAATTCAACAAGAATTTATAGGAATGACTAAACATTGATAAAATGATTTCCTCATTACAATTTATAAATTACCACTTGCGTAAAAATCATCGGCATACGTGTCGAATCGTTTCGCAGTGCAGAAATTAACAAATGATGAAAATCTGTTGTTTAAAACTATTTCTGCATGATTCACGATGCCTTCTTTCACAAATCTTTAGTAGAAATTTAACAAAACAAAGGAAATCCACAGCTTCCATCTCCAATATGCAAAGTGCACGCGTGTCTCACATTCATACTTCAAATAATGCTTGCCTCAGACAGCAAAAAACTGCTTTATTTTTTACCAGACGCCAAAACAATAACTTGCAATATAAACGAAAGGCACCAATATGGATACAATGTACTAAAAAAATTCATGTCAAGATACGGATGATATCGGATTTGTCGGTGGATCCAGTCTTTCAATCACTTGATCTATGCACTGAAAAAAAAAGAAAAAAAAAATCTTCAGCATTATTATCTACACTTTTTTATAAATTCCATTTCCAATACCATTCATTACATGTTTTGTTTCCTGTGTAGTTCTGGCCTGAACGTCTGCTTATCCGATCTTGAATCAATCACTTTCATAGATTAAAATCTCCGTTAAATATCATATAAAAAGCACTTTGATGGAAAATTTGCTGAATTTACGATGTTTTCCAATGTACATGAAAAATTTACTGCAAGTGGTCCGTGTAATTGCATTTCCATCCAGCACGGTGTCGAGGTAACATCCTGGCGATGATACTCTGGGCCTCCCCATCCTTTTACGAATGATATTCGAATAAAACACATTTTTGTCAACTCATAAACATTATTATAGCCTTCTCGCTCTGCTCGTCGCAGCATCTAAATAGTACATTAACCAATCAGTTTGATTTACGATTATGCAAAAATGATCGAACATATTTCTAAAAGTTTACAAAAAGTGACTGTTAAAACTGTCCAGACTATTCAATGTTCAACTAACTAGAGATTTTTATGTAATCAAGCCTCGACAAGAGAGATACTAAAATGAATAATGAGATAACCCTAATATCTGAGGTGTTACAGTACAAAATATGTCACTAGAGGTTATAACGACTTACTTGCACGAATAACTGATGATGAAATATGTACATAAAATGTCCAGGAGGTATTCTACAAACAGCATTTGGCATACAATTAAGTTTATAATTGCTATTTCTCGACTGCACGAATACTGGAGAATCCGAAAGATTCGTCACAATTACATCATGTGTCGTTTCTTCACACGTCAATTTCACACCTGCAAAAAAAAGATACTATTATACTCAGATAATTACTGTTGATATTGTGTTTTATCAATTATGAACAAATCATATATATCGATTATTGTAATATCATCTGTATCACGAAGCTATTCATCAACTTACATAAATTCAACATGAGCCTCAAAAAAGGTGAAAAGTAGTCCAGGTTATGGAAAAACTTATAAGGTTTTAAATTCTTTTAATTTTAGCAATATCAGAAGTGGCTTTTTTGGGCGGTAGTATTTCACCTGCTAATCCATTCAATTATCTATTTATTGAATAATCTTTTTGGCGCTTTTTAAAAAATCTTTACCTTTTCCTATATGCTTCCGGGTATTTTCTATAGTCGCATTTCGATTAACATTGGTTAGTAGGCCAAGGCAGATCCGATCATCAGAATTTGAAGGGTCCGTAAAGCCATCAACAATTACTTCCAGATTTCTTATCTAAATATAAATATGTAAGGTAAAATTTTCTTTATTTTTCAGTAGAATTTTCATTCCCAATCCACCTTCCAATATATAGAAATATCATTTTGTCACTTTGTTGTCTCAAATTATATCACTTCTAAAATTCCAATATGCAGTCGACAATCACTGATAAATACAAAGATATAAAAAAGGAAACAAACAGATGAGTGGAAAATAATGGGAAGAACCTTAAAAAGTTCACCGACGCGAGAATTAAGCTCATAGTAACCAAGTGAACACCAGAAATTTGGTTCTGGATAGCAATAACCTGAGTCTACTTCTGATGGCATTGTTTCGCAATCCTCGCTGAATACCGACAGAGGACTCGCTTAAAAAAAAAAAAAAAAAAAGAAAAAAAACTCTTTAAAAATAGAAATCAATAACTTGAACCAATGTCCTGATCATGTTGCTAACAAGTAGATCCTTATAGACAATACAAGTAAAGATAAAAGAACGGTACCGGATGAGTAAGAAGAAGTGTCTCGATAGGCACAATATTCCAGTGGAGCATTCAGTGATGAAGATACTTCAAGTGAGTGGTGATGCCCATACTATAATTTTTGCATGTCATTTAATATGAATGAATGAAATTCATAAGAAATCTTTAACTGACCATAATTACTCAGAAAAGCCGCTTGCTGGTATTTATTAGTGAAGCAAAATTCTTAGTTACAGAAATATCCAGCTAACTAACAATATGTATATACTTACCGTATTGGGAGGAATGGAACTCACTGATGAAGGCATATCTCTATGAAGAATATTAGAAAAAGGCACAGAGTGTGGCACTGCTACCGGAATGATCTAAAAAAACTGAATCAACCTAACAGTTTTTACCAAAACTTCATGGCAATGAAAATTGCAATAATATATCAACAATGAAACAGAATGGAACATATACTTCAAAAGCTTCAACGATCAACGGAATAATAGTCATCATTAAATTAAAATTAAAGTCGTTTCACGAGTCATCTTTCGGGAATCAATGCATACTTAAGATGCAGTTTTCTTCCCAACATACAATTTACTACCATCAACAACTGAAAAGTTCTATCAAGGCAACAATCACTAGTGAGTAACAGTTCATATAAATTCTACAACTTTAACATTTCCTAACACAATTATTAGCTAAAAGTTCCTGAAAAGAGTTATTGCAATGATGATGCTGACAAAACATCTGTAAATAGTACCTGAGACTCTATCTTTTGGTAATGATAAGGATTAATACAAATTAGAGGCTGTTTGCTATCATATGAATATAAACATTCAGGCACAGACTTGAGCTCATGATGCGATTGCAAATCACGCCACCGCCATACCTTACAATATATCACATGCGGAAGTCCCTTTCGATGCGATACCTCAAAAAAGTACGAAGCATTTTCCGGTATTAGTTTAGAATCAACAACAAAAATTCTATTTGTCTATGTAGACAAAATGTCTGATTTTGGCCACCTGCTATCAATTTGCTATAATGTAATACATGTGCACCGTTGATTCTGATTCTAGGCGATGTAAAACATAAGCAAGATTCAAAGATATAAAAGAAACTAGCCAAATAAGAATTAACGAAATAAGAGATTAAAAAGTTAGCAAGAATATCTTAATAGAAACATAATAAAAAAATAAATAGCACCTGAAGTCGCCCATCAAGCGATCGAGGTATTGTGACACATTTACTATGAGATCCTGGATTTGCAAGTGCAAACTCAAGGTCCTCGATAGTACCTTGACCATTCTTCTTCTTTTTCAATTTTTTGACCAATGAATCCACAGCCTAGAAAAAAGGAAAAAATTTCCGATCTGTTGGATTTCATTACATCTTGAATGCATTTAGAAAAAACCCAGCAATAACATGATTTGAAAAAAGATACACATTTTGAACAAGAATTAAGGATATTTATGAACCAACGATTTAAATAGTAAAATTTAATTTATATTATTTTTTTTTAATATTTTTTTACATTACATTTTTTGAGCTGGTTTTTATGTTAATTTTCTTATTCAACACATAGAGGAAAAAACAAGAAAATTGAATTGTGGCTTGGCAATCAAAATTATAACATTCTTCAACAACGATTGCAGACAACACTAAACAGCAGTGATGGTTAAAAAAGATAAGAATCTTTTGTGTTTCAAAATTGTAGGAAACATGATGGTCATATCATGTATAAGAAGGAAATAATGCAATCCTGCCATTAG